ATATATATAAATAAACACACACACATACTGGACTACCCTAATTTTCCACCTGTTTTGGGAAAATTTCTACTTGTGGTAGCTAAGTCAAACAAAAACGAATTTTACAAAACTTTTGTAAGCACTTAAGAACAAGACAGTTTTCAAATCTAACTATTTGTATACTTGCTTAAACTAATTATTATAGGTATATAGTGACATTTTTATTACCTTCACAGTTGTGAATCATAGTTCGCTTGTCAGAGTAGGGTTGGATAACGCCAACTGACGAGAATCCTTTTCCGCATTTACATTCAAAACTGTTAGTCCCATCATTGAAATTTGTGCATTCCTTTTGTTTACCACAAGTCCCATCTTTGATAACATCTTCGCATGGATCAGCAGGTGTAAATTTACCTAGATTAAGATGAATTTTATATTAGTATACTTATATTGAAGAATTTTATCTAAAAATGGATTCCATAACAGCTTTATTTTTGAAATATAAAAATATTAAATTATAAAAATTGAGAAATTTTTTTTAGAATTTTGTGTGAAAAGATAAATGTACCCAGACAAAAAATGTTTTTAAAAGATGAGTATAAATGCAGATAGAATAAAAGGAAAATTTGTGCAAATTCTATATTATTAAAAGTAGATTCATTTCGAAAAGGGAAGTATATAAAAATACTATTTGTATATAATTACTATATGATTGCATCTACAATTAAGTCAAAATATGTGTAGGAATGCCATATAAATGTAATTACATCGTAAACAAAAGGGATATATATATATATATATATATGAATGTTATATAAATACAATAGCAGCTAATATAAAAGGGAAATATTTTGGCATGTTATATATACATGTACAATATATTTCAGGTATCATAGCAACAACGCAGCATTTCTTTACCTTCAGTGTCTTCACTCTTATCCAAAATTAGATGAGGAGGCATTAAGCATTTGTTATTTGTTCCACCAACACATGAGGATTGATCTGTTAAGATGTTGATTTGGTCTCTTGGATCTGAATTTAACTGTATTTCTATCAAACAATTATAGGACAAAGTTTTCATTCTGAAAAAAAAAATTTTTTTTTAATGTATTGAGAGCTTTACTGTTATAGAAGTTTGTGTTCTTATAATTATTTATAACACAGGAAAAAATAGGTATTTTAGTCAAAAGCAGTTTCCCAGTCAATAGTACTACTAGATTTTTGGTGGGAAAGCTAACTGTTACAGAAGGCATTGCCTGTACTACTGTCTTAATAAAGAAGGCGATATCTCTACTGGTTTTTTATTGCAGATCTAGTTTAGAAATTCAGAATTCAAGACGGTTACTTTTTGAAACAAGTATAAATATTAACATGGAGACAACACTGCCTATTTGCGTAGCAATATTATATTTGCAGGAAAAGTTTTCTTACGAGGGTGGATCAAATATAAATGAGACTTTTCTAATGACTACATATTAAAATATTGTTCTCAAAAAATGCAAAAATGTTGTTTCTCTACAAAATTTCCGTAAACTTATACACATTTTTTCCGACCTTAAGGATTTTTTTTTATCTCGGTAGCATAAAAAGAAGTTGGCCTTGTAGTGAACCAGTTGCACACAAAATCTTGATTTTGATAAAAATCTGTCACCCTTCCCTCCTAAACTTTTTAAGGGGTTCAAATAAATGGTAGTCTGAAGGTGCTGAGTGCAGGCTATATGAAGAATGCTCAACTGTTTCTCAAAGTAATGCCAACTTTCTACGCTTTTTGTAAAAATTGCAATTTTAGCTAAGTTTATCTTTTAATGTATTAATTTTTTATGCATACATTTGAACTTATTTTTCCACACCACTGTATAAAAAAATATCATAAGCAATGCCACTTTCTTCCAGTTCTTTCATAGTGAGGCTTTTAAAATGTTGGCAAAACTACTAAATATTCTGAAAGTCCACCACTCTGTAACAATTTTACAAAAATCCTAGTAGTTGGCAGGTCAGGTGATGTCTGCAACTTTTGTTTCGTTACTGCGGCTTACGAGGTGTCCTGATGAGCATGAGTCGCGTTTCTTGGACCGATGGGCTGGTGCGTTTTCTGTAAAATTTCACAATAATAATTTTCTTTAATTGTTCATGAGGAAAATCAATGTACACAACACCTTGTGAGTCCTTGAAAACACATGTGAGTTTCTCAGCTGCAAATCACTGAGATTTTGCTTTGAATTTGTTTTTATGAGAAATTGCTAATTTTATTTTATCTAAAATTATTTCCGCTTATTAGATCAAATTTGTCACGTTCTCAATGAAGCTTGTTTGAACCTATGATGATACTTACTCGCAACTTACGATGTCAGAGGAATGATAATTTTTTCCAAGTAGAGTTACCATCTGAAATAAAAATAAAACACTATATAAATAAATTTTCATCCAGTTGTTAATTGTTGATCGATATACACTGAAGAGCCATTACATTATGACCACCCTGCTAATAACATGTAGGACCCCATTTTGCCCTCAAAACTGCTAGCACCCGCCGTGGCAAGCGGCATTGATTCCACAAGGTGCTGATAGGTAGTCTGAGGTATCTGGTACCAAGCGCTCACCAACTGGTCCTGCAATTCCTTCACATTGCGGTCCTGCAATTCCCTCACATTGCGGTCCTGCAATTCTCTCACAAAACTAGGGGGTAGCGTAGCAGCATAAATTTGGTTTTCCAAGTAGGACCACACATGCTCTATTGGATGAACGTCAGGTGAATTTGGGGGCCAAGACCTGACTTGAAAGTCACTGGAATGTTCCTCGACGATTCGACCCTTATGACATGGTGCATTATCCTGTTGGTAAACACCATCCCCCGCAGGAAAAACTGCTGCTATGAATGGGTGAACTTGGTCTGGAACTATGTTCAAGTAGCTTACAGACGTCAGGGATTGTTTTATGAGGATTAGGGGTCCTAATGTACCCCATGAAAGCATTGTTCCTAGGCGAGAAACCATGAAAACTTGGGCGAGCCCATTGTTATAGATGGAGTGTGGTCACAATGTAATGACTCTTCGGTGTATATATTACATTATAAGTTACTACTTATAGCTTCAAGCTTACTATTTTGCAATGACACAAGTTTGTGAGAAAAATCATTGTCCTCGGTAATATCTCATGTGACAAACATTTGATTTTCTGCTTATTAGATAATATAAAGGTAAAAAAAAAAAGAACCATTTGGCCGGTGCCTTCTTAGGAACAACTCTATCACTTTGTATTTGCAGACAGAAACTCACAATTGGGTGTTAAATACAGTTTGTGAAATTTAAATATCACTATCTTGACTGTGAAATAATTGTTGTTCAAGCAAATTTTTTGTACTAGAAAAACCCAAACTTAATAATTTCTAATTTTGAAATGCAGCATGGAACACTGGTGTCTTTTTCTGCGTGAATGTTAAAATCTTACAAATACTGCTCACTTTCTACCAATAATTTTTTCAATATGCAGTTATTGAGATGTAAGACAAACAGCTAATAATCATTGAATTTTTTTTAATTAACAAAATCAATTTTTATAAACTTTTGAATATGCATAAAAAAAATTAAATTTTCGGATTTTACATTTTGGTACAAATATAACTTCTGTTATCTTGCAAAATTTTTTCAGTATTTCTAAGACTGTTTTTTTATAATTAAAAATAACCAAAATGTATTTTCTTGTACCTAGAGCGTCAGAAAAAATACATAAAAGGAACACCGTTGTTTAAAATATATAAGCATACCTGCCAACAATCACTCTTTTCGAGAATGGATTTTCCAAGTGGTAGTAAAACAATTACCGAAAAACTATCTTCCTCAAAAATATATTTATATTTGATTTATATAGGTTGATATATTTATATAGGTTGAAATTCGCTATTGTAGGGAATAATATGCTTTTATATATTTTTTGTAATTATTTATATGTAGTGCTGGTCAAACTGATTTAAAATTATTATTATAATTCAAAAAGTTTAGTGAAATAACATGAATTTCGCTAGCTCATATGAAAATAAAATCGTCCGGGAAAACCGGAAGAGTTGGCAGCTATGTATAAGCTGTCCTATCTATGTTAAAGGAAAAAAAAATGTACGAACGTATCGAAAACCGATTGCTAAATGATAACAATGAGCCAGCCTGAGATGCTATGAATGAGCTTGTTGAAAAACAATGAAAAACATTTTGCAGCTAACATTTTGTGAGTTATACCAATAATGACGTTTTATCGGATTTTAAAAACATAACATAAGTAATTGAATCAGAACTAAAAAATAATATAGATATTTTGCCTTTTATATCGATAAACATACACCAAAATTAACGGGGTTTATAGAAATCGCTGAAATAAATGATATAATCATGATCTCATTCCCAAGTAGCAATTATACTAATAACATTCTTTCACTTACTGCATCTCTTAAATCCTTTTGAAGAGAACTGTAGTTTATAATTTCCTTTTCATCAGAATTCTGAGAAGGCGCTGCTGATTGGACAGCGTAAAATTGTTTCGATATTGGCAAATATCCTAAGTAAGATGCTTGAGCTAAATAAGAAAATTAAGAGAAATCATAGTTAAAATTATAATAAGATTTTTAATTTCATAAATTTAAAAAGAAAATATTTTATGAATGTCAAGACTAATTCAACCCTCATCAGCTTGAAGTATACAAATTTATTTCTTTAATGTGATCTCAATTAAATTACAAATTAGGTAGTTTTGTTGCTAATAGTTAATACCTTTGTACTATTGATACTTTTTTGCGTAAAATAAGCATATCCAAAAATAGCTTTGATTATGCTTGCGTGCATAAATTTTATTTCAAACTACGTAATGGTATAAAAATGAAATCATCAACACCTACTAAATATATATTTTATTTTATAACCGTTATTGAACAGCGGGCCCAATTTTTTTTTGGGGGGGAGGGGGCTTACGACTACTAATGTTCAACTCCATTGCCTTGTAATTTTTAAGTCAATTCAGAAGACAAGGGAACTACTGGATCAAGTATTCAGAGAAATCTGCCTTCAGCGTTTTGAAGGAACAAACCCGTATTTGCGTTACAATGGTTAAAAACCACCCAAGGTTGGACTGACGCAAGGGGATTTTAACCCAAAATACTTTCACCGCTGAGGATCAGCACTGTACTCGGTGCGAGCTGGGTGTGGGATTCGTATCGACCAACCATCCCTGGGATAAGAACTCGGTTCACCTCGATACGAATTCCGTATCCCTCTTGCACCGACCACAGTGCTGACGTGAAATATCCTCAGTGGTAGACGGATCATGGGTCAGAGTTCATTTGCTGTCTGACTAACTGTGGGTGGTTCTTGTGGTCTTCCTCTCCATGTAACGCAAATGCTGGTTAGTTTCATCAAAAAGTTCTCCACGGAGGTAAATTTCTCTCACGGAGGTAAAATCCAAGAGTTCAATTGTCTTCAGGATAGGGATCAAAATTACAAGGCTACGAATTTGAACATTAGTAGTAGAGAACCCAAAAATTGGGACGGTTATAAAATAAAATAAAAAGTATTCAATCAGTTTCTTAGAACTCTCCTCATAAGTAATTCGTTAGATACCGAAAGCATATTTTTTTACCCCACTTAAATAATAATTTACGAGCAGTAATGCTAGATTATTGTATACTTTATAACTGATAAGCAATTCTTGGATATTAATGATCTAAGAATTCTTATAAAATGCCTCTAAAATGCAAAAATAAAAAAAAAATTAAAAAAAACTCTAAGAAGCAGTCAAATATGATTCTGAAATAAAAGTTAATATCCTCAAAAAATCTCGAAAACGTGTTTTATATTAGTTTTTTTACAAGGAAAAAATTATAAGGGAATTTTATTTTATAAATTTAACAAAAAATATGGTTATAGTTGAAATAAATATGAAAATTATAAATAAAATAAATTCCTGTTGAAGATGAATAGGAATTTATTAATTTTTGTAACACTCCTTAAGAACATCAAAATAACATTGTATTATGAGATGTTTTTTACTGTTTTTTTTTTCAAATACAAAGAATATCTTTAACTAAAAAGTAAATTTTTATACTATGAAAAACTCTAGTAAACGTCAGCTTTCATTACAGGAGAATATTTAAAATAATAAAATGTGAAGCAAATGTTACATTAATTTATAAATAAAAAAAATTATTCCCCAAGCAAATTGCTTTTTAAACTAAAAATACATTGATATAAAATTTTCAAAATTCATAAAAAATGATTAAAAAAAGAGCAAATCTCAAAAGTGTAAAAAGTATTTAAAATACCATGTATATTGAATATCCATATATTCAATATACATGTGAATCTTTTCTTTATAATGAAAAATATAAAGGAAAAAATACCCAAAAAAGAAAAAAAATGTCATTTGTCATCATCCTAGCGGTGTTAAGTATTTTTAAAATAATGAGGGTAGTTTTTGTGGATAAAAATAACATTTGTCAACAACATCCAAGCTGTGTTAAACATTCTAAAAATAATGAGGGTAGTTATTGTGAATATAAATAGCATTTGTCATGAACATTCTAGCTTTATTAAGTATTCTAACATTAATGAGGGGAGTTATTGGGGATAATTCATCAAAAAAATAGTTAAAGAAGGCGAAAATCACAAAAATGTAAAAAATATTTAAAATACCCTGAATTATGTTCTATAATGGACGAAATAACCAAATATGCAAAAATAGCATTTGTCATCAACATGGTAGCTGAGTTAAGAATTCTTTATGGATTTATTTATTTATGGATTGAAAATTCCAGAGAAAAACGAAAAAGAGAATTTTTTTATCGTCTTACCGATTTCAGAGCATCTACCATCTGGTCCAAAACTTAGCATAGGTGGACATTTACATTCGTCCAGTTCACATGTAGCCGAACGCAATATACAATCCTGCTTGAATGATTCAATCTTACATTTATCTAAAATGAAACAAAATAGAAGACATTTTAATGTGGGTAATAGACATAATTAAAAAAAAATATTCTTATAATCCTATTTAGTATAGTTTCCATTAACCTCTTCGAGACCGGTAAGTGAAATAAGCAAGCTCCGGGCGGCGGCAATCAGAGTAAAAAAGAAGAAAAAAAAACAGGTAGCCAAACTATTTTTATAGCAGTTTATTTGCGGGAGAGGTAATAATCGTTTGCCCTGATTAATTCCTCACTATTTAGTTCAAATTAAAAAATTATGTGGTTACACTTTTAATAAATATGAATTAGACGCGTTAATTAAAATTAAAAGCAGAAATAAATCTGTCAAATTAGCCAAGCAAAAACTTACGCTACAGCTTTTTAATTTTTTCCCTCCTGATTTTCACTCCGAACGATTACACACATGACTCACCCTTCCAAGAAAGGTTAAGTGTGTTTTCTAAGAGTTAACCAAAAAAACTTTCTAATCAAACAGATGTCCGATATAAGAAAGTGTGAAAATTTGGGCAATCTTTAATTCACATAACTAGTTAAGAATTTTACCTTTTTATTTACGTTTTCTCTATAACCAAAAGAATCTTCCAACCAAAGTGTTGTGGAGAGCAAAATTATTGTTAACCTATTTTTTAAATCAAAGATCAATCAGTAAAGAGTCTTCTTCTCTTCTTATTATATCCTACAGTCAGTTCAGGTCGTATAAACCGTTGACTTGAAGCATGTCGATGACAAACAGCGAAGACGAGTAGATTTCTTCTCTGCTGAGTCCAAGATATATTTGGGAGTAGCCTGATGAAACTGTCATACAGAACAAAGGGGAAAGATTTTCTCTCCACCAGAAACTTTTAGACATTTCAGGTGACCGCTAGCGATAGTCAAGTTTGGTAGATCTATCTGCCGAAAAGGAAAGAGGTAATCCTGGTTCAGTCGCGGTTGATAAGAGGCAGTGGCCAGTCTTTTTAAACAGCAGATTTGTTTTTGATAAAATGAATATCCATAAATGTTAGTTTGGTGGTATTAAAAGTCTGTTGACAGCAACCTTCTTTGGCGAGTTTGTCAGCTATTCCGTTGCTTTAAATTTCCCCATGTAATGGCACAAACTTGCTAGCTTTATTTAGAAAAACTGGGCATCTGGGCGGCGCAGCGTCCCTTACATTATGAAATTAAATACATTGAGGTAAAAGCATTTTGAATTTAGCAACATTGGGGTAGCTATAGTGATGGCATCCAGTGTATGCATATTTCGTGATATTATTTAGTAAATATTCTTTCTAGTGGTAACAAAGGTTATGCATTCTTATTTTATAAACAAAATTCAGATCGCTACCTCTGATAAATATATTTCGCGCTAACCTAAAATGCTGAAAATTATACACACGGTTTTAGATCGCATTTAAAATTCCATTTTTAAATTTTAATCGGAACTAAGTGTTTTAGTGAAATTTGTTAGGATAGCTATAATAATAATTGGTTAAATTCATATTTTGATTCAAAATAATTGTAAAAAAAATTATTTTCCGATTTTAAATGTTTTAATTTTATTCTAAATGTGCTATGTCATACATCTTGTTATCCCGTTTCTTCCCTTTTGTCACAAATTGTCATAATTTCTTGAAACAACCTCCCTTCCATACATGGTAAAATTTGCGAACTGCTTCTTAAGTCATTATTTAAGCAAAGTCTAATCAAAACTTTTAATCAGTAAACAAATTTTTAATATAATTAAATCATAATAGAATTCGGTGCATGACTTACCTACGCACTGGCCATTTTCATCAAATTCCTGACTTTCCCTGCATTGGCATTGATAACCTTTTTCAGAATTGAAATCTTCGAAACAGAGTGCGTTCTTCCCGGTGCAATCCTTATTGCCTCCTTCTTCGTGACACATCTGTTTTCCTATTGGTTTAAATGAATGGCATGACATTAAAGCATTTAAGAAGTTTGCTGTTTTAGCTACCATTTCAGTTTCATAAAATATTTTAATCAGGAAAATATAGAACTTAAAACTATTCTTAGTAACAATAGTGTTTAATATTTCTAAAATTTATATCCATCTTACTTCGACATGTTACTCCATCATCGTTGTAAGCATACTTCCCTTCACATTTGCATTTGAATCCCAGTTTAGCATCCGCTATACATTGATCGTTGGGACATAAACCAAGAGGCAAAGCTTTCGCGGTGCATCGATCTACAAAACAGTGAATCGATCTTTAAAATATTCAACATTTATTTTAATTATAAACTAATTTTTTTCCAAATAATTTATATTGTATCGTGAATGAATGGTAGTTTTATTAATCGAAAAATTAGCCTTACCAACGCATGTGAGTCCCTTTGCAGCATAAGTAGGGGGACAAAGGCATCTCTCAGATTTATTCACTTTTACACAGGCTCCTACACCGCAATCCTTTTTGCATTTCTGCGATTCATCAGTGAGTTCTGAAATGAAGACAAGCATACTCAAACCATGCTTGAGCACTAATTACAGACTACATTTATGAATAATATGTTCAAGATGGCCACAACCAGAAAAAGAGAAAGAAATGTCTCATATCGCTGGGAGAAATCTTAAAATTTTAAATGCTAATTTCCTGTTAGGAATTGACTTAATTAATGCCTATGAGAGATTGATGCATCATATTTTCGACTTTAATAACATACGCACAGCTTCCCCATACTAGCTTAGCTCCAGTTTTACCTCATATTGTTTATATCATGGTTTTATCACCCTACTGCATATAACTACACAATCAGAATTCAATGATCCACACGAATACTCCTTTATTTCATTTAGATTCCACCCCCTCATCGAAACACCACAATGTTCAGTTAAAAATGAATAAGAAAAAAATGACCGGATATTTCATACAGTTGAGTTCTATCGAGACCTTCTCCTGAACCAAGTCCTAGATGCGGAGAATTTCATCCTTCAAGCCGTTAACTGATTTTCCTGAGGATATTCTTTTGTATCATCTCAATTCATCTACAATATGACTTTCCCAGTATAAGTCATAACAGAATCGAAGAATCGGTTGTACTTTGAAAAAAGAATCGATTTATGCCTAACATAAACTAGGTATAATTAACATGGTTTTACTACCAGCTTTCCATCTTTTTCGTCTCGCTGGCACCCCTGCTTCAATATAACAATAAAATTGGTAAGCAATGTTAACTACAGAAATATATTATGTGGATTTGTGATATTTATCAATGGATTTTGTTTATCAGCTTCATCATTCTTACATTATTACCACAGTATTAGGTACCTACACTATCTGGTAAATAGTATACGGACATCTGGTTGTTATTAATGGAAACATAATGGTGTGGGCTTTATATCGAGGTTTGACCTGTGTCCGTTTGTTCCTGTGGTTGGAAAAATGTACTCTAGGATGTAAGTGAATATTGTGGAAAATGCTGCACTCCCAACTCTATAGAAATATTTCGGAGAAGGCCCAGATCTCTTCCAGCAGAATAACTGCTCAATTCACACATCGAGGCTTGCACAGGCGTGGTTAAAAAAATGGGTGTTCAAAAACTGGACTGGCCTTCTCAGAGTCCCGATCTAAATCCCAATGAACTCATTTGGAATGAATTAGAGCGCATATTTCGCAGCCAGCCACGTTTACCATCCTCACTGCAAGCATTCAATTCAGATGTGATGAAAGCCTGGAAGTCAATTCCTATGGCCACCTATCAAAAACTACAGGCTGTCATCGATGCAACAGGGGGATCAGCATCATATTAATTTGTGCTCGCCCTAAGTCACGTTCTACGTTAGGACACTCTGAGTCCATACCATTGGGTGTCTGTACTTTTGGCCAGTAACCACCGTAATCATTACCACAGTACCTTTTGTACCAAATGCTATAATAAATTAACCCTCACTCACATATTATATTATGTAATTTTTGATAGACACACCAAAAAATTTTCCAAGTTGAAACATATTTATTCCTTTTAATTAAACTGTTATTTTTCTAAATATATTTTCCGAAACAGTTAGCAAGATCAAGTGTTAATGACATTACTAATTGATTTTATTGAAGTTAAACTACAATAAAACAAAACTAGAATTAAGATAGAATAACGGATTTAATATAATAGTGAATCTAATAACTAATTAAAAAAAGGAGGATTATTAAAGATAATTGTTGATCACATACGAGCTGTAATGTGAAAAATGTGTTTTTATTTTTTAAGAAGATAACAATTTATTATAACTAATTAAAAAAAAAAAAATATGAATTTCAATACATACTGCAGGTTTTCTTGTCAGACTGCAATGTATATCCAGGATTACATTCACAAGCTTCAGTTTTACTGTTGCAGATTTGCTCGCAGCCTACTAATCCAGGAACAGAACACTTGTTTACTGAAGAAAAGAGAAAATAAATATTAATAAAATATTTACTAACTTAAACAGTTATCTGTAAAAAAAAATCTTAGTACAAGCAACATTGTTAGATATGCCAGCAATATATACAAC